TCGCGGTAATGTCGTTCGCGGTAATGTCGTTCGCGGTAATGTCGTTCGCGGTAAAGTCGTTCGCGGTAATGTCTCGCGGTAATGTCGTTCGCGGTAATGTCGTGTCACGGACGATTCACATATATATATCCAGAGAGAGAGAAAATAGATAATACGCACGAACAAAAATACACGAATGTAAATTACACATCTGATTTAGTTTGCAATAGTTGTTTTGGAAAGAAGTGTCCCAAATCATTCTGTTCTATCATCTAAAATAAAAATCATCGGTTATGTGACAGATGAGATTAAAATAAAGTTCATTAAAAATACCTGTTTTATTTCCGTGAATTCGGATTTCATAAATTCATTATTTTGTTTCAATTCTGCATAATTTGATGATAATGTTTCAAATTTCTGTGTCAATTCTGCATTGCTGACTGTAAGGTTTGCATTGATGCCTGTAAGTTGCTCAAGTCGTAATTTAATTTCTTCAATTTGAGACTTTAAATCATCGATTTCTTTATCCTTAAAATGAATGAGAAAAAATTCGGAAAAGATCAGGTACAGATTGATTGGTTTGTGAAATTTTGAAGAACAACTATGTCTAGAGCCCGTGCTCCAAAGAAGAACGCAATTTTTGTCTTCCATCTCTCCTTCTCTTTCCTGTGAAACTGTCTAATACCATTAGAACAGTATGAGATTAACTTACACGTCTTTTATCTCTAAAATCCGATGAATTTGTTTTGATATTGTTCAATGTTTTTACATACGACTGTCATTTTTTTCCTCTCTTTGTTCAACTGAGGAAGACGAAAAACAATAGCTCGTGATCAAGTAGAAAAGCGTTTCAGATCAGAATGAGTAGAATTTTTTTGAATGTGTAACCGAAGCAAAAACTAAACAGAATTTCTTCTTTCGTAAACGTGCAAGAATAGAACAGAACGGAACGAAGCATAATAATTTCTCCCTCTATTTTTTTCTTCTCCTCGTCACTCATCTTCTATTTTATGTTTTGAATAGAAATTTTCTCCTTTACCTACGTTTATTATAGAAGAGAAAATGTGAGCTATTTTTTTAGTCCTGCCTTCTCTCCGCAAAACGGACTGACACTTAGGTGAACATATAATTTTTGAACATTTTTCGGACTTTTCTCTTCTACTACAGATGTCTCAGAGAATTTTTAGCGTGTCCAGTATTTTTTCTAGCTACGATAACTGACAGCTTTCACGATTTGTGGCAGAAAAAAATAAGTCATCTTTTTCGACCTTTAAGAACATTTTGAACAAGAACTTCACTCACTTTTACGTAAACTCCACTGTTTCTTTCTATAATAATATCATTCAAAATTATCCCGTTTTTAGAATATGCTTTCACATTGTAAATACCATCAACATCTTGAGTGATCGGCTTAAGTGTAAATTCATTACCACATTCATTTATTAACGATTTTATCGCATTCAGTTATACATTAGATTCAATTTGAACCATATCTAGACGACATTTAATAATGAATAACGGAGTATTTTCCATAATCATTTAATAATTTTTTAAATCGACCTTTAAATTCGTTTAATGATAATTCGATATCTTGATCATAATCAACTAAAGGTATTTTTAACCGTGGATTATCGTTTTTGACTACCATAAAGCGACGATAACGATCTTTATGGGCATGTACGATGACACCAACATCACCAGTTTGTAAATGGTTTGCATTTAAGTCATGTATATGTTCGTTTTGTTGTTGATAGTGTTCGCTGAATATTAAAAGGAAATAATAAATCAAAATCGATGGGTGCAAGGAGAACGGGTATGGAGAAACTGCCCAATCTTTTCTCAACCGGTTGTTGATTCTTTTCTACCTTGGGACTTTTCTTACCTCACCCACTTTGTTTTGTATGATTGTGAGGAAAACAAAAGACAAGAAAAACGATTGCCAACACCTTAACACATTCGGGGCGATACGGCCCACCGGTGGGACACGGTAAAAAAATTGAATATCTCTACTCGTTTTAATCAAACGAACTAATTGTTTTTTCTCGGTAATGGAGGAGACTTCAAAATTTCTTTCATAAGAAAACCGTTAACAGATACTGCTTTGAACTATCACTATTGACTTCAATAGAGAAATGTAGCTTTTCCGATTTCTATAAAATACTTTCGAGGGAGGATCCCCAAATGACTAAAAGCTTTTGAGCCCATATTTTATCCAGTAGTAGGGGACCATTAGACGATAACAACCGCCAAAGGGTTCGTTGTCTTGTTGAGGTTTGACTGAGATATTGAACTTTTAGTGAATTCTCCCCTCTAGGCTAGAGAAGAGAATTCACGGAAAAATCGGATCCCATTTTTCAATAAAATCGTAGTTTCAAATTCGGACCTGAAACTTTGCTCACATTAAGGTCTCAGTTAGACTTTCAGAATTTGAGTTTCTCTGAGATATAGTTAACACACAATAGTTAACCTTCATACTTTAAATGGATAATCTATAGTTGTCAAAGAGTATTTGCTGCAAGTTTGAAGTCGAATTGATGTTCCTAGAATGAATTGTGAATCTTTTTTGAAAGGGACCTCACATCTCAGGAGCTCATTTTCAGGGACCTCGAGCTGTATTTCAGTATCCATTAGCAGCTTCCTCGTTAAATTCAGATCGTAGATAGAGGAGAGTAAGCATTACATTTCGGTAAAAAGAAAACGTTTTCATCTTTCTTGGATCAGAAGTTATTAGCATTTAGCGGAAAAGAAGCGAAACGCTTATATCTCACGAACCATCCCGTAAAAGAGGCCCAAATTTTGTGGGTAATCAGTATTCGGTAAGAGCTGTAACTACACAAAATTAGACCATGGGTCTTGAGTTGCGTAGTACTGTAGTGAGAGTTCAAAGCAGTATCTGTTAACGGTTTTCTTATGAAAACAATTTTGAAGTCTCTTGTATCACCAAGAAAAAAAATTAGCCCATTTGATTAAAACAGAGTGGAGATATTCAATTTTTTACTGTGACCCACCGATGGGTCTCATCGCCTCGAATGTGTTAAAAATCAATTCAAAACCATTCAGACTTATTAGGTTTTCTTTCATTGTGGACCTTATAGGTGTTATCTCTATCTCTTAAAAAGAATAAATTAGTCAGATAGCAGCTTACGCTAATTTTCTTGTAAAATAAATAAGCTTTTCATGAAGTTTGTCTGTAAGATAAGAAAATACCAGATTTTGATCAATGTTTGTGATTTTTCCAAATTCACAAAAATAATCATTCAAATTTTGAATTTTATATGAATAATTTTGTTCCACATATATAGTCGTCGTCATCCTGAAGTATGAAAATCCGATATTATTTATTGTTTTCTGATTATTTATAAAGATTTGGACGTGATTCAATGTAGGACGTTGAAAGCTAATAATCTATATTGAGGTAATTTTATAGTCATTCATCTAGGGTGTCCAGTAACACTGAGTTAAATCTAGGAGCTTTGCCATTCTTATTCTTAAGAGTGCAGAGGAAAAATTAGTTTCTTTGAGTAAGTTTTTAGTCTTTAAAGTTGATGGGAGACGAGAAAACATAAATAAGATAATAATTAGTAAATGACTAAAGCAGAAATAAACAAAACGAGCTAGTTTTGTACTAGTCGTCAAAATTGATAACTAGCAGGAAATTTCGAAAATGTTTGCTATCAAGTGAAAAAATATGCGAAACAACAAAATGGCGACATATGAAGGCGAATATACATCTGAAATTGAAGTTTCTGATGCAAGGAAGAATGAAATTAGTGCGTTTTAAGTATAAATTAAATTCTAAGTAAAATTTGCGAAAATCTTTTTTACACCGCGACATTCATGAGTATTGAATTCTGCAAATTTTATGATGAATCAATATGTTACTTTCGCGCTTTTTTTAAACTCGACGGCCATTTTTGACGGAAAAAAAAATTGACAGCTAGCGGCCAGTGGATCGGCAGTGATGACTCATCCGATCATTTACAGACTTCCTGCTGAATTTTTTTTCTGTCAGCAATAGTTTTATATTTAAGCAAGAGTCAAATGGACTTTCATTTCCTGTTTTCATTTTCTTGTATCCCGTAACAATTACGAACATATTCGCTATGCAATATTTTAGTAGTCGCTAGTCTACAGAAGAAAAGCGACATTGAAACTATAGAATGGTTAATATCTTTGTAATTGTAACGGATCATTAAAAAAATGAAAACAGGAAATGAAAGCCCATTTGACTCTTGTTCAAATATAAAACTTTCATCTAATGAGTTGGTGGTAGAAAAAACGAAAAAATCTGTAAACGATTGGATTTTTCACTACTGATTTTTTTCTACTGTTCCCATACCACAACAATAAACAATAATAATTGTGATTCGATTTGAGTAAGGAAAACTCGGTAAAAACTCAATCTTTTCCTCTACAAGTACAACAGTAGATAACTAATGATAATTCAGCCATGAGAGCTCATTATAATCCATATACCTCTCGTACTTAGCCATATCTGCCGATTCATACAGCATTTCGTTTTTTTTTGTCATGGTCTGAAGAAGAATTACTTTGGCAGTCCGAAATATATATTGACACAAGTAAGGTTATTCTTAGAAACTATAGTTATAGATCCTGCTAAATTATTTTGTTTTGATATGGGTAAACATTTGAGAATGAATATGATAGAGTTAACAGCAGCTTTAAATCTTTTTATTGACATTTTGTTAATAGATATAACAATTTATTTTATTACTGTCGACGTTTCGATA